ATCATGAGCAACGTACCTGGTTTGAAGACTGTGTGTGTGTGTGTGCGCGCGCACACGCGCGTGCGCGTGTCAGTATTGAAGCATGAACTCAGGACCTAAGCATTTTCTCCACTCAAGGCTGGTGTTCTACCATTTGAACAACAGCTTTACTTCTGATTTTTGCTGGCTAATTGGAGATAAGTCTCAGAGACTTTACTGCCCAAGCTGGATTTGAACTGCAATCCTCAGATCTCAGCATGAGTAGCTAGGATTTCAGGCATAAGCCACCAGCACCCAGCTTTTCAAGATTTTAATAACAAATTCTTCTCTGTTGAAAAATTATGGTGATGGGTTACTGATCTTAGGGACCTATCAGGATATTTCTAAAGCTGTCTTCTCACAGGCAAATAGGCTTCATTCATCATTCAATGACCAGTTACCTCCACAAAGTATTATGGTGTACTAGAGGTTATGTTAAGGGTTTTAACTTTAAAAAGGAATACAAAATGAGTACTTTTGTCCAGTACAAAATTTGAAATCAAGGCCTCATACTTGCTCAGCTGACACTCTACAATTTGAGCCATGCCTTCGGCATGACTTATTGCTAATTTTGGAGATGAAGTCTCACAGACTTTTCTGCCCAGGCTAGTCTCAAATCATAATCATTTACATCTCATTTAGATTACAGGTGTGAAACATGATGGCCAGACAAAATCACCATGGACTCAGGAAACATCAGTTGCTTTCTTTGTGTCAGGCATTTGTCACCTTGTTTAATGTTGGTAATAACTCAATTAGGATTTTTTTGGTAAGCAAACTGATGGAAGAGGTTGCACAAAGTCACTCAGTTGGCAGGTGGGAGAACTGCATGAACACCTTGTTCACTTAAAGCTCTGTGGCACACTACAGTACCCTGGAGAGCCCTGAACAGTGGGTAGAAGAGTATTTAGGCAGCTACCCCTGAGCCCTGTTGCAGCGTGCTGTAAGGGAGAATGAGGAGAGGGGAGATGTCTGAGGCCCCTTTTGAAGGTAGGTAATAACAGAAGTAGAAGACAAGGGACCTGGAAGCTGTGGTTGGAAAATAAGCAGTTTCATTTACTTCAGTACAAATGATGGCAGGATAGAGGCCAATTTTGCAGGCTCTATTGTGTAGAGTTGGGAATATTAGGTCTTGAGCAATGAGGTAGCTCAAACAGCTCAAAGAAAGGAATGCTAGAAGCAGGAAAAAAAGGAGACTGTATTTCACTTATCCCTTTCTGAAAACCTAGGTTGCCCAGGAACAACTTACCTGGGTCCTCTGCCTAGAGGATCCGTGTGGCTGGAGCTGTGATTTCCTATGAAACTCAGCTTTCCTAGCAGAATTCAGTAGCTATGGCTCTGTGTCAAGGACTTAGTGTCCTTCTGGCTATTGACGACCGCCCCCATTCCCCCCAAGGTCCTTCTGTGCCTCCAACACAGGCTTCCACAAACAGGGCGTCTTGCCTCTCCCTCAGCCTCAAGGGAGGGCACTGTAATCTCACATAATCACTCTGTCCTGTCGCCTCTGCCAACTCTGTTGATTAGAAGCTAGTCATGGGCTATGCCCACACTCGAGGGCCTGAGGGGAGGGGCCATCAGGAACAGATCATCCACAGTCTGAACTAGGTGGTACTGATGCAAACAGAGTCAAGAAATTGTGTCTAGGAGCACATACAAGTGTGTGTGTGTGTGTGTGTGTGTGTCTGTGTGTCTGTGTAGATTTACATTCAGTGCTGGGAATCAAGCCAGTGGCCTTAACATCCAAGGCACTCTATCACTGAGCAACATTCCCAATCTATAGAAAATGTAATTGTAGTTTCTTGTTTGTGCTAGGTGAAATTCTTGGAACTCATTCTCTCATGAAAGCCCAAAAATCTCTGTGTAGTTATGTGCCAGGAAAATCCTTATTTTACAGATGACAACAAACCTATGAGATACTTTGGTCATATACATCCTAGATTATTATTCATTATTATTATTACGGCACAAGGAATTGAACTCGGTCTGTTGTATACTTACCAGGTATGTATTCTGCCACTTAAGTTATACCCACTTTCCAGCCTTTTTGCTCTACTTATATTTCAGATAATCTTATGCCTTTTTCTAAGGCTTGCCTCAGATCACAACCCTCCTACTAATACTTCCCGCATATCTGAGATTACACACGTTTATCACCACATGGTATGTTGCTGAGAAAAAGGGACTAATGTTTTGCCCAGGTTTGCCTTGAACTACAAACCTCTCGTAATCTCAGCTATTCAGGGGGTAGAGTTCACAGTTTTAGCCACTGTGCTTTATGTACTTGAGGCTCTGTAGTGGCTATAAAAACACTGAGGATGGGTAAACCAAGGAGGAGGCTGCAATGCTTGGTAAGAAATGTACGCATTATCCTGCCCATGTAATTGTAACTCCTCTGTACAGCATGTTCACAAATAAAATTTAAAAAAAAAAACACTGAGGATGACGCCAGTATATTTAAACCATGCAACTCTGACGTTAATTAGAATAGAAATATCCTGAGGGGTGGGCACGAGTAGCGTAATAACTTACGCATATGCCACCTGGCAGGCAGGATGCACAGCATGCAAAATGCAGAGGCAATGAGCTTGTGCAGATGGGAGCATTTATTGTTCCAACTGCCTGCACCACAGATAGAAAACAGAATCATGCTTGTGCCCACGAAACAACACTCCATAAATAGAGCAGTGGTTATTTTGTCCACAGATGTTCTAATGTCTGACACATAAGTTGAATGAATGAGCGTCGCTAGTAAGTGGTACGGTCACAGTTTGAGCTCTGAGTACCACCCCCCACCTGCCTCTGAGAAGGCATTTCACTGTAGCCATGTTGTCCAGGATGCTTTTGCAGGTGTTATCTACATGTGCACATGCAGATCCCTAAATCCCATCAGGAGGGCTTGAGGAAAAAAAGCCAAAGCTAGAGTAAACTACTGAGGCCATCCATGTGGAGATTACAGAGTCCTAAAATTAAATGGGATGATGAGGAGACAGAATGGAGGCCCAAAATAGAACCTTAGAGGATACCTATATATAGAAATAGAGATGCAGAAGAGGCATTTTCAAAAGCAATGAAGATATGAAGTGAAATAAACCAGTTCCACAAAGACACGTATCATGTTTCTTCTCATTTGTGAAAGCTAGGGGAAAACAAAACAAACAAGGCTGTGATAGAAGGGGGACTGCTAGGAAAGTGGAAAGGAAAAGGGGCCAGCCAGTAGAGGAGAAGATAGAGGGAGTAAACCACCATATGTGTGTATGGGGAGATCACCATGAAATCTCTGACTACGCACAATTTGTCTTTCTTATTGCATAAATTTAAAATGTAAGAGGGAGATAGATATAAAAGCAAAGAGGAGAGAGGAGGAGAGTTAACACAGAATAATAGGTGATCATAGGTGACTTGGAATAACCAAGTTCAGGACACAGAGTGCTTTGCCAGCATGCAAGGAGGCCCATGGCTGCCAAGGGTGCAGAGCTTGGGTACAGAGCTTTCTGGAATTTGGGAAGAGGTCTCTGGTGCTATGGAGAGAAGGGGAGACTCTGGAAGGAAGAGAACAGACTATTGACAGAACATGGTCCCAGAGGAAGCAGGGGTGCCATGCATCGCCACAGCTGGGAAGGATGAGAGAACTACAGAAGAGGAGAGAAAGGGAGAGATTGAGGGAAGCAAGAGAAATATTGATGCTTGACCTGAAGATCCTCAATTCTTTAAGGAAGAAAATAAGGGGTACAACTTTAAGAGATTTTTTTTTTACGGTGCCAGGCTTAGGCACTGTCCCATAGCTTTTTGCTCAAGACTGGCAGTCTACTAATTAAGCCACAGCTTCAAACCCACCTTGTTGGTTAATTAGAGATAAGAGTTTCACAGACTTTCCTGCCCAGGCTGGCTTGGAACCAAGATCCTCAGATCTCAGCTTCCTGAGTAGCTAGGATTACAGGCTATCTGAGGCTATAACTGACAACAGGTAATTCAGTAGAGAAGACAGTACAGATCCTTCTGGTAATGACAACCTCTCACAAGAACAAAGGAGCTCCTCCAAGGCCCAAATGTATCAAATGGGCCAAAAGGAAAAATAAATGGGCATGGCAGGGGATAAGAGGAGGTCGGAAAGACTGGCCAGGCATACAAGTTATCAAGACAGGTAGAATGACACAAATAGTTCACAAAACTCTTATCAGGCATAGGGCTGACAAAGAGCTAGGTATCAGTGACTAACACCTGTAATCCTAGCTACTCTAGGGGCTGAGATCTAGAAAATAGAGGTTTGAAGCCAGTGTAGGCAAAAAAAAAAAAAAAAGCCTATGAGACTCTATCTCCAATTAACCAACAAAAAGCCTTGCTTTTTGTTAGAACACCATTATGAGCAAGAAAGCTAAACAAGAGTGTGAGGCCCTGAGTTCAAGTACCAATACACACAAAAACTGACAGGCAGAAATACTGTCTACACTGACTACAAGGATAATGATGTTTGGGAAGTAGTAATATCTTCAGGGGCATTAAGGTAAAAAGCATTAAGTTCTGTTTGACCCTCAAGGTAAACCAAGGACACTTCATGTCACCTCACTACAAAGAAGCAAGGTCATCAGGAATGAGTGATGAAAAGGAGATGCTACCACAATCAACTATAATCACTTTTCCTGTTCTCTACCTGCCAGACAAAAAAGGTCTGGTTCTCAAATCTGGATCTTGTGCTGACTGTACATCTGATGACTCAGGGTGGCATCCAGATTAGAAATTAGATCTAATGGGTATGAAGCAGTGTATTTCTGTGTGATTTGCTTGAATGCTATTGAACTCTTAAAATGTTCTCTGCGCATGTTTACATGTGTAATACTATTTCATTATTTCTTTTAAAGAAAAACATTTTGGAACCTTTTTCTTAATATCCTAAAGGATTTACAGTTACAATCAATATAGCCACATTACTTTCTGCCACTATATCCTAAACTAGATTACTAATCACTTTATTACCTCTTTTTCAGGTGTGAAAATGAAACCAGGTTTAAAACAGAAGAAGTATTTTGGGCTTACAACTTCTGCCCTACTCCATACTCCTGGACTGCACTTCTGGGCCTTATTTTATATCTGGTTTTCTTTGCACCTGGTAAGTCTAGGCTCTGTTGTTACTTTTGTATTCGACTATCTCCTTTTGGAAACACATGCTACTTACTACTTTTCATATTCTTTACACAATCTTCACTGTTTTTGTTTTTATTTCCAAGGAATGGGACCAATGCCTTGGACTGTGAACTCTGAAATATACCCTCTGTGGGCCAGAAGTACAGGCAATGCGTGCTCATCTGGAATAAACTGGATTTGCAATGTTCTGGTTTCACTGACGTTTTTACACACAGCAGAGTATCTTACATACTATGGTAAGAGCATAGTTTTTCCAGCATACTTTCATTTTTACTATTCTATAATGTGTTATTAGGTGGTTATATTTTTGCTGTTTGAAATGGCTTGTTCTCCAAAGCCTTGGCATTGTATCTGAGGAAAGATAAGAGGAATTCTCCTTTCCTAGCCAGCACTGTGACTTGTCTCTGAACCTGCGTGGCTTTACCTCCACATGCAGAACTGTTCCCCTTGCAGAGGAACAGGACTATGCCTAGTTTGCCGGGCATCTGCCAGATGGCAAGCAGCACATGGACTGTTGTTGAAAACTATGAGAAAAAAAATTTAAAAATCTATTTCCTTTCTCTCCTGAACATGCTAAATTGGCTGTTTGTTTTTAGTTCATATTATTTATCCATTGCTTTCATCTTTTTTAAAAAACTCTTCACTCCCAATCACCACTTAGAATATCAAGAAATAATGCTTTTCTTGGAAAGGAAATGCACTGCCATTTTAAGCCACATACATAAATAAAATACTCCACTTTATGTAAAAAATAAATTGCCAACTGGGATAATCTCATGAACTTATCTTCATGACATGCTAAGTGTAAACAGAATAATATTTACTCATAATTGTTGATTCTGGAGAACGCTGAAATATTTGAAGGCTTACATATACACTAACAATCCTGAGGGAGCATTTTTTTTATCAAATGGAAACTCCTAGTCAAAATAATGAAGCTACATGGTAGATAGCAAAACTGCTTCTTTGTGAATCTACACTACTAGCAAGACAACAGAGTAAAACTTGAGTCTTTGGCTTTATTCACTTTCCTTCCTGCCAGTGCATTGGTCTGATAGGTCTGCAACTTTCCAATAAGGGGAAAATTCTGGTCAGTTCTTTCTCTTTTCTGAGTAACATTTTAATCTACATGCTATATTTTTATATTCCAGATGTAATAAGAATATATCTTTTGGTGTGTCAGGTAGGGCTTGACCTCAGGGCAAGGGTGCTGTCCATTACCTTTTTTGCTCAAGGCTGGTGCTCTACCAATTGAGCTACAGCTGCACTTCCAGCTTTTTTCTACTTTATTGGAGATAGAAGTCTCATGGACTTTGCTGTCTAGCCTGTTTTTGGATCTCAGCCTCTTGAGTAGGTAGGATTGCAGGTGTGAGCTGCTGGCACCTACCTAACAACACATCTTAATGATCTTTTTCTCTTCAAATAGCAATGCCTTTTCCCCCTCCTTTTTTATTGTTTCCCAAGATCTCAACTTTGATGCTTTCTTTCTAAAAAATAAAAGATCTGCTTTGAATGTCCTCTGACAATGGTTACTGCCAACTTACCATTTTCTATATAGCATGTGTGGCTAAATAGATCAAAGTTTCTGAACTGAGGTATTGAAACATGGTCTTTGTTTTCTCGATTTGTATATACCAAGTATTTGTTTTAACCTAGAATTCAATATACCTCTCTATTAGGATTTACTCCTTTCAGAAAAAAATGCTAAGACATCTCTTCACTGTTTAAATTCCTTGTAGCAGATCTGTTAACGACATTCTTTTTCATTTTCCTTCCGAGGAGGAATAAATAGGCATGATAGTCCAAGACTGATTGGCTGTGCTGTGGGCTAGCCTACCCACATTCCTCTGTGACTTGGCCAGAGGTCTTCCAGGAAATCCTCTCTTCACTTACAATTTGGTATTTGCAGTCTTCCCTTGAGAGTGGATGGCATTGGGAATCTAGGTTATAAGCAAGAGTCTCTTAAAGAGTGTCCTAATTCGTCTTTAATTATAGAAGTTTAGATAGTTTGGTAGATTTTTTTACTTCCAATTATGTCACTCTTCCAAAATTGAGAAAGATTTAAAAAATGATATTTTGTAGAGCCAAACTAGGTTTGCTTGTTATACATTTTGTAGTTTAAATATAAAATGTTTTCCAATCTGCACTTGTTTTTCTGTGTAATCATCATGATCAACCAGCCTTTCTCTGTCCATTGTGGCTGAAGATTCCAGTTCCAAGCCAGGTGCTGATGGCTCACACCTGTAATCCCAGTGCTCAGAAGGCTGGATCAGAACATCATGATTCAAAGCCAGCCCTGGCAGCCTTAAGCAAAAGAAATACAAGCAAGATCATAGGGCCCTAACTTCAAGCTCCAGCACTAGCAAGAGAAGATTCCCTACTTATTATACTCATGTCTCTCTGTCCCTAGAACACAGGGTTTCCTTTTCCTATTTTTAAATGGGGTAGAATTCTGACATTTTCTAAGAGCTAGCCTATCAACATCCATCACCCTAGCACGAAAACATTCCTAATTCATTATCCTGATCCTACCTTGTTCTGTTTTTAGTAGCCACTTCCCTTTCCTAATTAGTAATTGTTTAAAATCATGATAGCATGCTATTCTAACATCCAAACTTCTAATGGGCATATGACATACATCTTCTCTTTTTCATTCTAATTTACCTGTATGCTTCTCTCTTCTCACAGCTTCTCACTCTTCAGAACAGATTTTTTTTTCTTTTTTGGTTCCGGTTGTGGAGCCTGAACTCTGGGCCTGGGCGCTGTCCCTCAGCTCCTCGGCTCAAGGCTACTGCTCTACCACTTGAGCTACAGAGCCACTTCCGGCTTTTTCTGCTTATGTGGTGCTGAGGAATCGAACCCAGGGCCTCATGCATGCAAGGCAAGCGCTCTACCACTGAGCCACCTTCCCAGCCCCTGTGCGTTTTTTGTTGTTGTTTTGGGTTTTGTTTTGTTTTGTTTAATCAGTTGTGGGCCTGAACTCTGGGCCTGGGCGCTGTCCCTCAGCTCCTCGGCTCAAGGCTACTGCTCTACCACTTGAGCTACAGAGCCACTTCCGGCTTTTTCTGTGTATGTGGTGCTGAGGAATCCAGGGCCTCATGCATGTGAGGCAGGCACACTACCACTGAGCCACCTTCCCAGCTACTGTGCTGTTTTATCAGCAAGAAATCAGTTCTTTAATGTTTATGCTTGCTTAGTGTAAAGACTGACTGTGAAATATGCTTTTACTTAAGCTCTGTTACCCACAGTACACCAAAATCTGACAGATGGCTTTGCACTCCACACGTAATGTCATTCTCTCGAAGTACCTTCTCCCCCTTCCTCCTGTACTAGTTACTGGAAACCCAGGACAAACCACGGGTTCCGCCCTCAAGAAGACAACAATATAGCAAATCTCTTTCTCAAATAACTCTTCATCAACTCTACTATTCCTGCTCCTGACTGGGGCTAACTTACTTACAGAATCATAAACTGCCAGGATCTCTGAACATTATCAAAACAGGAGCTGCAGAATCATCTTATTTCACTTCATAAGGAACCACCAAATCAGAGGAGTTAAATGACTATCCAGAAGATACACTTATAAGACTCAGTTCACAAGATCTCCCTTCTCCAGCCATTTGTCACATGAGTCTTTTCTTTGCCCCATTTCATATATAGGAGCCTGTGGACTGAGAGCCAAAAATTATGTGGGATTTCATTGTAGTTAGTTGTCCTTCTCCATCAGAGAAGTAAGCTCTTACATTTCAACTGGGAATTACATTATAAAGGAAAGGCTATCTTAGCAACATGTACAAAAAACAAACAAGCCACACCCTCACATACCTCATCCATCCATAGTTACTGCATTGACACAGAAAACAGCCAGGTAATTCATCTTCATGGCTGTGCTGCACTGACTGTATAATCTTACAGCAACACTTACCTGATCTCACAGAGCTTGTCTCCTACTGGAAGGAAACAAAAAACCAAGTAGGAAAGTTCATAGTGTTTATCAGTTTACAGTAAGTGCTATTAGGGGAAAAAGAATATAGTAAAAGGGTAAAGGTGGAGATGGCTCCCAGGTTTTTGAATGACTGGAAGGACAGCATGGCCATGTGCTCCAGTTAGGTCTTATTTCAGCAATGTCATGATTGTTCTCGGTTCTAAAAATCAAGACAGACATTCTTGGCCAAGTGCCTCTGGTCTTAGTAAATAAGATAGACTTTTATGCATATAATCAAAATGCTGTTTGGCTACTATGCTATAACACTTCTAAGAAAGCACACAGGAAAAAAGCAATCCCCCCTAGTCAGGGAAGTGAGGCAAGGCCTCAAAACAGAACTTATCTCTGCCCCTGGTGTTGTATTTGAGTTATGAAATACAAATTACCTTACATTTACATGGTTACATGGCAACCCAGTTGGCAGTAGTGTTTTGGTCTCCTTTCATACGCTGGTTGTAAATAATTGGCGATGGGGGTTATCAAAATCATGTCTCTCTGTACATATATATTCACATATTTTCTTCCTCTTGCAGGAGCCTTTTTCCTCTATGCTGGGTTTGCAGCTGTGGGACTTCTTTTTATCTATGGCTGTCTTCCTGAAACCAAAGGGAAAAAATTAGAGGAAATTGAATCTCTCTTTGACAACAGGCTATGTACATGTGGCGCGTCAGACTCGGATGAGGGAAGATACATTGAATACATTCGGGTGAAGGGAAGTAACTATCATCTTTCTGACAATGATGCTTCTGATGTGGAGTAATTTTCAGCTGCTGATAGATTTAGATATTTAGACAAACGTAGGGAGAAGAACAGCAATTGGCGACCTCACTGCCCTGCTCTAACCTGGTTCTTTCCACAGTCTCATGATAAATGACTTCATATTCTAGAATACTTGATAGAAGGAAAAGTCAAAGTACAATCATGATAATGAAATGTAAAAATACTTATAGAGATTTTAACCTAACAATTCGTAAGCAAATGTGTATAATTCCTTCCTGAGATAGTCTATACAGAATACTGTACCCAGTGACTCCAGTGGTACCCTTTATTCCTAAGACTATATATAATTATTAGTGGTAATAACAGTCAGTGACAATCTAGGCAGATAACATATGTATATTTATAACAGATTGTATGGGATGGTCCAAGGATGTTTATGTCCAAAACATGACTGATTGGCCCTAAATTTTCCTAAAGGTTAGTGACTTCTCTGTTATCACCTATTAGAAAGTAATTCCATTTAAGCTTTCATCAACAAATTCCAAAATGTCCTACCAGGGCACAGCTGTCCTTCTTGCCTTTAGGTTCTATATTTTTGTTTTTCTCTCTCTCCAGCTTAGATACTGAGAGTTCGTCAGAGCCTGACTCCTCATAGGATCTCTGAACATTATCAAAAGCAGGTATTTTAGGAGTTATTTTCATACTTTTTTGCATCATATATTTACAGATATGCTAGCACGTTTTGATAAGAATATTTTATTGTCAGAGCAAGAAAGAGAAGATTTTTATAGATCACTCCTTCATTAGTCACTTAGGAATGCGATTGTAACTAAAAAATAGCACCAGATCTTTAACTGCATTTCAGTGTCTGTTTCGTTCATGCCAAACTCAGCACATCGGCTTGTCCTCTTCTGTGCCTTCATTGGTGTTACGTAGATGGCTGCTGGCAGATTATTCTTTTCTTTCGTTTAATCAAACAATAATTTCTCCAACAAAAGAGATGGAAGAAACCAGTGCCAGACATAGTTCTGCAGCTGTTGATGTTTAGTTAAAACCATGCCACTTATTTTTCTTGGGTTTTATTAGCTCTTCCTAAGAACAGTCTCACTTTTCCGTCCTTGACATTTTTGTAACTCTAGAAACAAAACTAGCTTTTATTTTACATACCTTTTCTCGTTTTCTCTGACATTTGCCAAAAGTCCAAGATATATAAATTTTTCTGTTTGCTCATGGTTGGTTTTGTCTTCTCTAAAATATGATTGTTCTAATATAGCACATATGTAGAAAATGTTGACTTTTCCAACAATGTCTTTTCAAAATGCTTATTGATTTCTATGTGCATCATGAAATTCATAATTATTGTCCTACTAAGGACTGCACAGTAGTTATTAAACTCACAAAATCATTTGGTAATTCCAATAAAAATATGAATGAATTTTATGTGGCACAGAGGAATGTATCAGTTTGATGTGTTTTAATATGTCTCTAAACATATATAAGTAAGTAATGTACAATCAGTAGTTGGTAAATGCAAAGTGTTTTTGCTGGTCTCCAAGATGCTCTGTTCTTCTAACGTCTCGTTTTTTCTGAAGTCTCACTTATTCCTATCACAATTTTAAGGCTGAGAATTTAGTCAAGCAAGTTTCACCAGAATACTTAACTAGTCACTTTTGTGCCCTAAATATCCTTCAACCAAAAAAAATTTTTTTTCTGTTTGGTCACTCATTTTTTAAATGTAGTATTTTAGAGGTTTCCCTTGAATTAGGTGCTTTGACAATTGATTTCTAAAGGGATATTAGTATTTTTGCCAGAAAAGCAGATGTGATTTAACAGAGTAAATTAGCTCTTATCCCATGAGAAATTTCTTACCTGTAATATTTTATACAGGTAAAGTGAAAATGAGCTATTATGTGATATAATCAGAATATTGTGGATAAAAAATATATTTGAGAGCAATGAAGTGCTCTAAAATTTTATTTTTCTGATTTGTTCAAAAAATTGCCTCAATTCCTCTTTTTATCCTAGCCTTAATATTCTTATCCTCAGCTGTGCCGTTACTGCACAGCAACTTTATTAAAGGAGCAACTGGACTATTTCTTAAAACAGAACATGGCCTGCTCTCCCTGACATAAGGAAATGATGTTTGCCAGTTTCTATCCATCAATTTGCATCACAGGGAAAACTACCCTCAGTTCTCCGGCCCTAGCCCCACATCCTCTCCTCTGTTAATTCCATAGTGTTGATAATATTCCACATCTCTGCAGTACAAGACAGGCACTGCATAAGAATTACAACTTTTAAAAATAAGTAACTACTTGAAAAGGAACCTTCTATAGCATTAGGCTATTTTTTTTAGATTTAAACATTGATAGCACATTAAAGGTTAACCATTTGTTTAATATAATGCACCTTCTGAGTGTTACTGGCTACCATTTTGAACTTGAAAATCCCCACTTTCAAAATATCAAACATATTTTAAAGATAATATCTACATGGATGATGTGATGTGACATTCAAACAGACACAGATTTTATGCATCAAACTTCCAATAGAAATTACAGGCTACTTTTGAAGTTATTGCACAGTCAGTAAGGGTGCATTATGTTTTGGAAAATGGAATGGAAAAGGTCACAATGGTACTTAGGACAGGCTACATGGCTAATCTCCAGAATTAAGAGAAAAAGCACTTTATTCTATGTATAAATTCATATGCTTGAATGTGATGTCGAAAAGGTTGTTTACATGGAAGAAAAATATTAATACACAGTCTAATTTTGATTGTTACACCTAACTTAGTCATTAGCAAAAATATTTTAATATGAAAGACCTAATGATAATGTTTCAAGTTTTGTTACCAGCTATATATAGTTAGTCCCTAACAACAAACAAATGTTATGAGAATATCAGTAAAGTTTTTTTCATTATTTAATTTTACCATTGAGCCAGATTTTAATACATAGCCTAAAAATATTTTTTGTTCTTCACTCTCAAATGAGAAGTCAGTTAGAGCAAAGAACTGATAAACTGTTACTGTAAATTGAGTATCTAGTACACACCCTAAGGGGAAAAAAAATCAGGCAAAATTTGTTGGCACCTTGTCCTTTGCTACTTAAATAGCAAAGTAAAACTGAAAAAATAATTCATAAATCCTGAGGGTGGAAATGCTACCCATGTTATCTTTAAAAGCCTCACATTATGCTAACAGATTCACTAATAGTGTGATGCAATAGGGAATTTGGCAGGTTGTGATTTGATTACAGTAGCACAAAAAGAATAACAGTAAACAGTTTTATTATAATCAGATTTTTAAATTATTTTCCAAGTTACTTCAAATTATAGTAAGGTCCTAACAACTAGCTTTTATGATAAGTTTTCAACTGCCAAATTCAGACCTTTTCACTAAGTTAGGAATAAAAGAATGAGATGACATAGCCAGACCAAAGGCAGAGAACTCATACCATGTACATAACGTACAACTCTATTAAGTTCTCTATTTGAGCAATGAATTATGGTTTGTGTGTAGTTGCTGCCTAAAAAAAACACTTAGAAATGTCCTTTGGATTAATTTTAGTATCCTTCATTCTGTCACATCCATCAATATTCTTATTCTCATGAAAGAGGATATTAGGTTAATCTGATGGAGTGCTTGAGACTGCAACAGTGTTAAATTGTTGGTACATTTCAGTTCTCCTAGGTGAACAATATTGCTGCTATTTTTCTGAAGACAGCAATCATTTTAAAATGCTAAACAGCTAGTTGTTACCAAGTCTTTCTTGCATTATCTCTTCAGAGAAGGAAATTTTTTGTGTGCCAATAATCATCCTCTAAGAGGTGGGTTTTTTTTTTTTTAAGAATGTTGATTTTGGAATACATGAAAGTATTTTATCATAATTTACTTGTGAGTATACAAAAATGTAATTCCTCTAAATCTTTATATGTATAAAAGATTTTAAATATTTGTAAGTAATGTTCACATTTTATTTTAGGTAAGTTAATGCGTTTGACTTTGTTATGTCAACCTAAGAAAAAGAAATGGACCATTCAGATAACCAGCACATAAATTTTAAAAAAAACTCTAAAGTTTTACAATTTTAGTAAATTTAATATCATTCCATCTCATTTAAAGGTTAGGAAAGATCAGATTTAATTCTAGCCAAAGTAAAATTTATGTTTGTTATCTCAAGTGTTTCCTAGCTGCTTTTGTAACATCTTACTTGATGTTATATGTGTCTTTTTTCTTTGTAATAAATGTTCAAATTCCTACCTAAAAATTCTGATACATATCTAAGTTAAATAAAAGTTTTATGCTTTTAAAATGTGTGTTTTAAACTGTATATTAATTTCTGAGTGCATGTTAAATAAGTGTTTAACACTTCTCCTATCTTGGCAGTTCAATATATTTATTCCTACGTGTGACATATGGAATATCTCTTAAAAATCATGAGTATGTATCATATACTTAAAGTCATCCTGGCCTATTCTGTATCAAAATATTGTATATTTTATGGATACAGTGTTTTAAGTTATTTTATTGAAGTTCAATCTTAAAATCATTTTTTAAAAAATGTGTCAGTGCCAGAACTGTATATGAAAATAATCAAATAAAAGTTAAAGTTAATTCATTGCTCATGTATTTCCTTGCACTTTATTTTCTCTCTAAGCCTCTTCTTTGGAATTCACAGCTTGGTTACATTCTGGCGGTATCTTCAATCTACCTCTAATACATTAATGTAGTCCTATTCATTTTAATGTTCACTTATTTTGATCATGGATAATTACTTTCAAACACTCTTTTCAGTTGTTTTTTTTAAGTGGAAACATGGTGCCTGATGATAATTCGTTTGTTAATGAACATACATGCTTGATATAGAGTCCCTAGACTTGTCGCCAAATTATCTGTCATCCTGAGCCCAACCATAAAACTAGTCCAAAGGGATGTTCAGATGACACCACTCCTATGGTCACTGGAAAGCTTGCATGAACCTTAACATCAGCAAACAGTCTACCGCCACCATGTCTCTTACATAGCCCACAGCCTACACACAATGATCCACGCACCTGAGTAATGAACACAGGAAGAGTGAGTAGTACATGCCATCAGTAGTCAGAAAAATCCTTGCTTATTGTCCAGTTCTTAACCTCTGCCATCCTTTCCTGCTCCTAAGATTTAAATGCAAAACAGTTTAGTGACCACACACTGGAAACTGGTACAAAAGTTTTGTTTGCAGTGACTACTCCAACATTCTTCTTCTGTAGGTCCTCATTTAGTATCTCATAACACCTAGGCATCAAGTAATTCTTGAATTATAAATTACAGCCACATCCAGAACAATCAGGTACTTGGGCTCCAGAACAAATTCTGGGAACCCTGGCTTTTGAAATGTGATACAAACATGAGGCAATAATACAGAATAATATTGCTATAGTCATATTGTCTATCAGTGGTTTTACTGTTATTGAACATTATTACAGAGGTCAGACCAAACTCAAAATTGTCTAAATTCAATCCCAGCTTTTGTACTTACTGTTTGATCTTGAAACCAGTTTCAAACTCCAGGAATTGTATAGGGCAGGTCCAGCCACCCAGTCTTATATGCCAAATGAAGAGACATGGCAGAGAAAAGCAGTAGACAGCACTAAAGTTCCATCTTCAGACATGAGCTATAGATTTGAATGGACAAAAATAAACTGGGAGCCATAGTAAAAGTATACATAAACAGCCCCGGTTACAAGTACAGTATGGTTAATCATATTTCAGCTTCTCTCCATGACAGAGAAGTTATTGCTGACATCACTTGAGGAGAGCAATCTGGTTTCCATGAAACAATTCCTCTTGCTCCAGGGTATAGTCTCATCATTATAGGTACCGGTTCTCATTTGGAGGGGAGCTGCAAGGTTCTATGGACTGTACCTCTAGTTTTAGTCTCTTGTCATAAAAATGTTAGTGGTCAGCTCTGTCCTTCCTGGGTTCTGAGATAACTGCAAGAGAATGATTTAGAACAACAACAGATCACAAAATAGAGGCTGGCAAACTTTCCTCCTGCTATTCATTTGTAAGTCCAATTAAGTAGTCAATGCTTTGCAGAAAAAGTAACCATTAAATACCTGTTAGGATCTGAATTACCCTTTCTCACTCTGAGTAAAATGGAGAAGATGGCACTCTATCTATTAAACATAAAGCAGGAGCACCAAGGGCTGGGTAACTGGCAGCAGCAGCATTCCTGTGCTCTCCCCAATGCCACTGAGGTCAGAATGTTCAAAACACAAGCAATCTGTCCCTTCCTGTGAACAAATGCTACCAATAGGAGAAACAGACAGGCCTGACATGTGTCCGCTCTGCTGACTAGAATGGCCTGAGCTGGTCTGGCTGACTAGCCTGATGTTGCTTTCTTTCACCTTCCCATTCTCTCCAGATTCACAGGATTTAAAGCATAATTTCTATTTATTTGACCTCATAGTCAACAAATAAGAATAGATTTAAAAAATCTGTCAGTAACCTATCACTTAGAGCCCTTTCATTATTAGGGAAAGGAACTTTTGAAATCCTCACCAAATAAAAAACAGTAACATTAACCTTATTGTGCTGAAATAAAACTCTTACGATTATAAATGCTATGAATGTCACTGTTATAACTTTTGTGTGCTTTTCTACTGCACTTAGAAAAACTAATTTCAGATGACCAGTACACAGGGTGAGTTAGTATTTCATATAAGGGGGCATGCCTTATTTTAGCAAACTGATACTAAATTCTCCAAATACTCTTAACAACATGTCTGGTCCTCAGACTAGCATCACTGAGCAAGTCAGCTTGTTACAAAAGGCAATCTTGTAGCTCTACCTGGACTAACACACAATCTCCAGGGATAGAGCCCAGAAATGTTTTTCTATGAGCTCCTGCGGAGTGTGTGTGTGTGTGTGCGCGCGCGTGTACTTATAATGTCTACTTAACTTATAACTTCTTTATGTGCCATAATGTCCTACTGTATTCTACCAGTTGTAACTCAGCATAAATCCTATTACAATCCTCAGTGACACACTTTTGCCTACTGGTTTTGTATGTAGCTATTCCATTATGGCGTCGTGCTTTGCTTTCAGTACAAAACTATTCACATACAAAATTCTCTTCTATCCAAAATGGTTCTTTTGTGTATTTCGTCCCTACTTTGTACCTTTAAAAAAAAACTATAACACTATATTTGCAACAGAATAAAGCAAAGATTACCTATTCCCATATAACTGAAGAAAAGTTATTTAATGGGCTTTCTGGTTTTGTGCCAGTACTGGGGCTTCAACTCAGGGCCACACACGCTCACTCATCTTTTTCACTCAAGGATAATATTCTACCACTTGGGTCACAGCTCTTCTTCCAGCTTCTTGGTGGTTAAATAGAGATAATAGTCTCACAGACTTTTCTGCCCAGACTAGTGGCTGGCTTTGTACCATGATCCTCAGGTCTCCACCCTGAGTAGTTAGGATTACAGCCTAAGCTACCAGCACCCCGTGCTTAGTTTTTCTTCTTTTAAGGATGTCTTTACATATTTGCCCCCCCCTTTGGTCTTAGATGAGTCTAAGAGTTAGAAAAATGTTACAGCTCAGAATTGCAAAAAAAAAAAAAAAACCTCCAAATGGCTTTGAACAGCAAAACTATCTTAGTCCAAGCAAGAAGGTAAAGAGGAAAAAGAATTCACAAAAGCCCAAATCTTTACATGTGAACCCTGTAGTTGCAGTTTGGGATACAACTGGCTGATGTTCCCAGATGCAGGAGCCAGGAGGAATACCTAAACTGTTGTAGGAATTTAGACAGATAACATTCCCAGTTAAGAGAATAAAACTAAAAAGGTGATCCCCCTACCCCATTAATGATTCAAGTAGGAGTCAAGTAGGCTTACCAGAATCAGGAGAATACAACACTGGCTTCCAGTATCAAGATGTAGGTCCAGAAACATGCTTTTCTCACTAAAGAAAGACATCAAGGACTGACAGAGTTTTATTAATGGAAATCGAAGTGTACCCTCCAAATAGAAAGGGGGCAGGCTCATAGGAGCACTGCACTGGGAGTCCCAAGACCTCAGGCATTTACTGGAATCTGGACATGGGGACATTTGGTCCTGGAAATTAAAAACTGTGCCATCAACTCCTCCATGTCAAGCGGGGGAGTTCTGACCTTGGATGCTCAGACTGCAGCTGGTATTTTTGTGGGCTGTGGGTCAGCAAGACCCTGCTGTGTGTCATGAGTCATTCTATCAATAGCAGCAGGTCTGAACATGACTCCTCATCACTGTCCTAGCCATCAGGTTTCCTAACTGCCTGCCTACATCACACCCTAACAAGCATATCTGGAGCCGGGTGCCGGTGGCTCACGCCTGTAATCCTAGCTTCTCAGGAGGCTGAGAGCTGAGGATCGCAGTTCAAAGCCGGCCCAGGCAGGAAAAGTCTGTGAGACTCTTATCTCCAATAAACCACCAGAAAACAGGAAGTGGCGCTGTGGCTCAAGTGGTAGAGCACTCGCCTTGAGATGAAGATCTAAGGGACAGATAAGAGATAAAAGTCTCACAGTCTTTCCTGCCCGGTCTGGCTTTGAACCGTGATCCTCAGATCTAAGCCTCCTGAGCAGCAAGGCTTACAGGTGTGAGACAGTGGCACCTGGCCCTGTTTCCATATTTTTAAATGACGGCCAGGCTGCTTGAAGTTGGCTGAACTGCATGCATGGCCCCAGGAAAGGCATGGTCCCTTAACCTCACTCCCTATGCCTAAATTTTAAATGGCTTCACTATCTATTTTCATACCTACAAACAACTTCTACCACAGACCATATTCATCCTAATTCACCTCTTTGTTATCCCTCCCCACAGAGCCCAAGCTAAGCTCAGCGGTAACATGATCTCTTTATTTGGGGAAGGAAAAGAATGTTCAGAAGAGAAAAAAAAATCATCTAAAAATGCCAATGAAATTGTATTCTAAACAGATAAAACTGTTTGGGCTTCAAATCTCACATTCTTCCTACTTTTTTATTCCTTCCTATTTTTCTCTCTACTGCAAAGACAGAGCTCACTGATTCTGACGTGCCTAGATGATAGGGGATTCCAAGATGTGGCTAAACAAAACCTTACCATAGCACTTACAAAGACTGTAAAAACCCACTGAAGTTTTACAACGCGTTTAGTGGAAATAGATACCTTCTCCCTACTGGTTTGATCCTGTAAAGAAAGCAAGATCATGTATGTACATGGATGTATATATATTTGCGTAGAGAGGAAAAGTATGTGTGCGTGTGTATGTATGTACATATGTATGTATATGTATGGCTATATATTTTCTAAATCCTTATTCCTAGTCTGCCATAGAAATTCACCACTTGAATATATTGGCTTGCTAAAAAATTTCCAAAAACATTTATACCATACAAATGATATTAAGGGCTTGGTAATTAAAATGTTCTTTCCTACACACACTTTGATAGCTTAACTTTGCTAATCCCCTCAACTCCAAAGCATTAGAAAGATTGTGATTAGCTGTATTAGTAACCAGTTATTGTTCTGTAACAAACCACCTCCTTAAATGCAGAGATTTAAATCAACAAACACTTGACTCTTATCCCAGCTGCTCAGGAGGCTAAGATCTGCAAGATTGGGATTCAAAGCCAGCAGAAAAGGGCTAGAGGCATGTTTCAAGTGATAGAGCACCATCTGAGCAAGCAAGCAAAGAAAGCTCAAGTCCCTATACCTCAAAAAATATATAATATTTTCTTCATCTTATGAATTTTTTTTGATGGGACTGTGGCTTAAACTGAGTCTGAGTGTCCCTTAACCTTTTGTACTCTAATTCTGGCTTTTTGAGAGTTAATTGAAGAATCTAACATTCTTTTCTGCCAGGGCTGGCTTTGAACCATGATCCTCAAATATCAGCTTCCTGAGTAGCTAGTATTACAGGAGCCACCTATGCCTGACTTCGGCATTTTTTTAAAATATATTCAGATTATGTGCTCAAGAATACAGTACCCATGGCATGACAATTATCTCTCATTTGGCAGTAGTTGCCTGTCTCCTTAGTAATTACCTGTCTGGAAATGCTCTACAGAACTGGCTGTAAACATAAAATTCACTACATTGAGGAAAGAATAAAGATAAATACAACCTTGGAACTATAAACAGAACACGTAAATCAGAGGGATCTGCAAGAGCATGCCTGCCACAACTGATAGTTGATTGTGAACAACTCTCCAGCTCTGAATCTCAGTTTAATACCATGAATTAATCAGCTGTTTTATCACAGAAAGACATAATAAAATCCTATTTTTATTTTATAATAGTATGATTGAACAAGAGACATATCTATGACTTTTTCACGCTACAATTTTCAAATCTACTATGTGTCAATGACATTTGCAAGTACACAGTAAATCTGCTTGTGAAATTCACAAAAGACTCCCAGATTAAGTTATCTACTAAAATAGGTACTGAACAAAGAAATCATTACTCAGAGTCACTAGAAAATGGTTTAAGACATGCCATGTGGAAAGTCACTTTGTACAAAGTCAGGTATTTCCCAGTAAAAGTAGCCTTGGGAGCAAACAGCCCATAATCTCATCTCCACTACAACAAGGAATTCCTCTTTACCAGTCAAAGAAAAGCTACACCTGACCATTATCAAACATAACAAATTGTCATTATATCTAAATTATGCTCGGGAAAAAAAGGTATGTTTGTACTCATCCTTTCCAAATGTTCCAAACTGCTTTTGGAGGACTAGGTTGTTAATGTGTTTTTATGTGTTTATTTCTAACAAGTATCAATTAAAATTGTTAAAATGAGTATCGTTCACAAACATGTCCAATGATTTTAAAAGCTGAAGAACAAATGGCCACTGGCAGGTAAGAAAATTGTTGTTTTTTAACTAGGACTTGAATTCAGGGCCTCGGGCTTGCAGGGTTTGCTTACTTGGCTGCTGCTCTGCCACTAGAATCATGCCTCCAATCCTGCTTTTACTTAGTTAACTGGAGATAGAGTCTCATAGACTTTTCTGCCCAGGCTGGCTTTAAACAATGATCCTTGAGATCTCAGCCTCCTGAGTTGTTAAGATTACAGGTGTGAGTCACTACATCTTGCTAGAGTTAACTCTCACACCAATGGGAAAATACATTCTTAAAATTAACAAGAAACCCGTGGCTCACGCCTGTAATCCTGGATACTCAGGAGGCTGAGATCTGAGACTTGGGTTCAAAGCCAGCAGGCAGAAAAGGCCATGAGACTCTCCAGTAAACCACTTAGAAAACCAGAAGTGGCACTGTGGCTCAAGTGGTAGAGCACTAGCCTTGAGCTGAAGAGCTGAGGCCCAGAGTTCAAGCCCCATGACCGATCCAAAAAACAAAACAAGATTTTACCTCCAGAGAATAAAAACATTTGCTGGTATATGCTTAGAGTGTTAAATTGATAAAACTGGGACATCTAACATCAGAAAAGAATTGTCACAGGTCTTTTGTAATCTTTATTACAGATTCCAACTTTTTCAACCATGAATAAAATTTGTCGACTCCTAATATATTAGATTTAATAAATTTTCCATCAAGACGTTGCTTTCTATGTTACTGAAACAGGTTTGGTTAGTTCACACTGTTTGGGAGGAAGGGGAATAGGGTCTTGTTATGCAGCCCAAGCTGGCCTTGAACTCCCTGTGTATCCAGGAGTATATCCTGCCTTACCTTCCCTGTAGTGGGATTACAGTGTACCCCACAAGAGCTGGCTATATGTATGTTTTATGAAGCCAAGGCCTTCTGTATCCCCTGGAGCAGAGTTTAGTATTTAGTAAACATGAAGTAATCATTTGGTGATTGACCTTAACTATGAGAGAGACAGAAGGAATATGTGTATAGATATACTTTTTATCTTTTATGCTTTTAATCTTCACAACAGAGTATGAAGGTATTATCCCCATTTTACAAAAAAAGGAACTTGAAGTTAAATTCCTGAGGTGATTTTCCCAAGGTAGTATAATAAACAGGTTCAAATCACAGGTCTGATTCCAGAACCCAGGTTTCTTTTTTTTATTATTATTAAAGATAACTTTATTCTTTTTTTTCTTTTTTTTTAATTTTATTTTATTTGTGAACATGCTGTACAGAGGAGTTACAATTACATGGGCAGGATAATGCGTACATTTCTTACCAAGCATTGCAGCCTCCTCCTTTGTTTACCCTTCACATCCCTTCCCATCCTCCCCCCCCCCCCCAATCCCAATCCTTCTCCTTCCCCCCCTTCCCCCCCTCCGCACCGACGTTGTAAAGCTCGTTTTGGACATGACAACTTGTACTTCTCATTGTTGCAACAGCAGAACCCAGGTTTCTAATACTTGATCTTGATTTTTTTATTGACCTTGGTATTATCCATTGATGTGACCCTAAATATGGATTAAATTGCTATTCAACCATCAATTCTCTAGCATTTCTGACTTTCTTGTGTGTGATCTGTATCTTGCTGCATTCTTCCCTGTGGCTCAGGTTTGAGGGTTCATGAAAAAAAAGCTTTTATTAAAAATATGATTTTGCACATAAAATTGTGCACAGGGGATGCAAGTGTGATTGATCATACCTGTAACCCAAGCCCTAAGAAGACTGAGGAAGGATTTCAAGTTCAAAACCAGTTCAGGTGCTATGTAATAAGACCCTGTCTCATAAACAAACAAAAAAGTTCAAGCCCCACGACCGACCAAAAAAAAAAAACCTTTTGCAATTTCAAACAATGCCCTAAAAGCATCAATGCATTTTTACTTTAAAGAGAAAAATAGCTTTCTTTGAACTAATAAAGCAACAACAAAAATGTTATCCAAATAAAACAGAAGATGTATTTTCTTTACAAGTTAATTCATGTAGGACTCAATGACAAAGCATTTGCCAAACATGCATGAGACCCTGAGTTTGATCCCCAGCACTGCAAAGAGAGAAATAAAGAGGGAGTGAGGAAGAAGAGAGAAATGGAAAGAAAGAAATAGATTGCAGTTATTCAGAACTTTTTAAAATAATAAAATGGATATAGTATTAAAGAGGAATAGCTAGCAAAATGCTTACAATGAGGACATAAAATATTTAGGTATTGTTTTCACCTTCAAATTTTGAACGAGAACATTTTTTTCACTAATATGCAACTGAATTAAGTTTTAAAATAAATGCCATAAGGAAGAAAGCAACTAAGTATATTTTAATTCACAAATAACAGCTTATCAGTTCAACATCACAAATAGTAAACAGGAGAATGATGCTGTACTTAAAAGCATTATTTCCTAAAAACTTGAAGATATATTAAAGCCATTAAAATGCCTACATAAAAATTAAATACATAAACAACATTAAAACATTTTCAAAAGAACCACAAATATACCTTTGCAACTTAAGCTTAGCGCCATTTTCTCATTACTCATTCTGTTAATGAAATTCTGGACATTCACTACTGCCTTCCTCCAAATCAAGTGAAATGAAATGCTCCACCATGGGCTGAGCTCAGAACATTATTACTTACTCAAGGCTCTCCTGCCCTCCAGTGGTATCTTCCTTAATATTTTCACTGCAACATTCGCTACTGTCAACAGCACTGCTTCTACACACACATTCTGAAAGTATGCTGCACTGTACTGCAGCATCTATCTGTCTTCCCAGTGTGGGTTTTCTCTCTGTTTGCACCCCAGCATCACACCTTGGAACCTGAACAATGCAGTTATTATTGGAGGGGGTCTGCTCTATGTATGTGGAATTGCACTGAGACTGTGGACATTCATCTGTATTATTTTTCAGTGATACTTCATGAGAACTCTCATTCTGTGTGTGAACTTCAGCATTATCTTTAACAATCTGATCACCCATACATTTTCCCATCCTTTCTGGGTAAAAACTTTTAACTGTTTCTGCAGTCTTCGGGGATATCTTATTTGAATCTTCAATTTGCTGTGATAGTTGACCTTCATCTTCAGATAGCTAAAAGCAATTAAATAATTTAATTACTGTGTAATTTTTTATATCATTCATCAGTTCACGATATAGGATACATATATAGGATACAAATACACATCAAATAATCTTCAAATATCTCCTAGCAGGTTACAGATTTTAAAATACCAATAAAAAGCCAGGCAGCAAGGTGACTCAAATACATACTCCTACTTGAGAGGTGGATATAGAGGAATCATAGATCAAGACAAGTCTGAGCAAAAAGAAGTTCATAAACTCCATGTTGACCAATGGCTGGGTGTGGGGGTACATAATCCCAGGAAGGCAGCATGGTTGAGCATGCGTGCACATGCTCAAGGAAGAAGACTGCACTGCAGGCATCATCATATAGGTGAATATACAGCTACAAGCCGAGGGAAACATTGCAAAGAGCAACGGGGAGGTATTTTGAGATCATAACTAGGTTTAGACCTGGTTTAGACCTGGGAGCCAGGGAAGGCTTTTGGAATAATGATATATTTACAATGATACCTTAAAAAGTTAAACAAAAATAAGGATGAGGAAGCAAACTGTATCAAGCCTACTGAAGAAAAGAGACTGACAAACTGAAGAAAGAAATGTCAGAATGTGGAGAGCAAAAGAATACTAGATGTTAGCCAGGAGCCACATTACACAGGACCAGCAGTCACTACAAGGAGTTCAGATATAAAGCCAAATAGGAACCCATTGAATAGTTGGAAATATGTACGGGAATGTCACAACTCAATTTATGTTCACAAAAAGTCAGGGGTTTTTTTAATCTGACAAACAAACTGGACTAAGAGTGAAAACAAAAACAATAGTTCAAGAACACAATGAGGTAAGTCAAAGGTTGAAAGGACCAGATACATCTATGATTTACTCTGGAGGTAGAGTATAAGTGGTTAAAGTGATGGAATGAATGTGGTTGAGGAAATGAGGTAAGACACAAGAAGAAATACTAACTTCTGATAATACCACTTGGTAACTATCTACTGATATATCAGAAAAACTGACCTGGGGAGAAAGGCAAGGGGTGTTTAGTGTAAGGTATGAAAAGATGAAGATTTTGTGAACTCTAATAATATATGTTTCAGTAAGAAACTGAACATGTAGCCGGGCGCCGGTGGCTCACATCTGTAATCCTAGCTGCTCAGGAGGCTGAGATCTGAGGATTGCAGTTCAAAGCCAGCCCTGGCAGGAAAGTCCATGAGACTCTTATCTCCAGTAAACCACTAGAAAACTAGAAGTGGCGCTGTGGCTTAAGTGGTAGAGCACTCGCCTTGAGCTGAAGAGCGCAAAGACAGTGCCCAAGCCCAGAGTTCAAGCCCCACGACCAACAAAAGAAAAAAAAAAAGAAAAAAAGAAATGGAACATCGAGGATTGGGGCTAAAGTCATAAAGTTGGGAATATGTACTGAGACAATATAACATCATTAAAGCTTTAAAGCACAAATTAACAGAAGAGGGTTCTGCATAAACCCTAGACATTACAACATTGTTATAAGAAGGTAGAGGAAATGATGGTAAAGGCATAAACTAGCATTTATGGGGATAGGAAAGAAACCAAGATTGTTGTGTTTATGACCATAGACCATAAAACATGTGTGTAGTGTTAGAATTGAACCCACGACTTCACACACACTCACACTCTACCATTGAACTAGTAATCCCACAAAAATATTTTAACGAAATCAAATAATAACCCAGGTGTAGTGGTAAGCACCTGTAATTATAACTATCTGGGGCCAGAGACAGAACAATCATAGTTTGAGTTCAGCCCTGGGCAAAAGTGAGAGTATAGCTGAAAAACCAAGTAAAGGCACAAGGATGGGGGCATGGAGTGTGGCCTTGGTAGTAAAGTGGTTGTGTATAAAAAAAGAGTTAGGCTCTGAATCCAATTCTCAGTACTGAAAAATTAAGGAAGGAAGAGAAGGAGGGAGGGAAAAAGAGGGGGAAATAGAAGAAGGGACTTCTACACAAATTAACAGTCTTTATGATATAAACATGAAAAGTATCCACTAAACTGGGCAACACAGAAGTCTCGGGTGTCCAGCCTGGCACCAGTGGCTTGTGCGTGAATCCTACCTACCCAGAAGCCTGAAATTTGGGGGTCACAGTTCAAAGTCAACCCAGGCAGAAAAGCCCGTGCAACTCTTATTTCTAATTAACCAGCAAAAAGCCACAAGTGGAGCCCTGGTTTAAGTGGCAGAATACCAGCTGTGAGTAAAAATGACAAGCAATAGCATGAAGCCTTGAGTTCAAACCCCAGTACTGGTACACATGCACACAAGCACACACATGCACACAAAGTCTCTGGTATCCTTACCAAGAGTGGTTTTTATGGCAAATTAGAAGTATAAACAAAAGGAATGATGAAGAAGAGGGAAAGGAGAGAATTCCTTCCATTTAGGTAGGTGATTTATGAGAAATGTCCTACCCAATTATTTATATTTGTCTTTACTATTACCTAGTTTTCATTTTATAAGTACTAAGACTATACCTTAATGTATATTTTGATTCCAATTATTTTAGGTTCTTTAAAATGTCATAATCTATGAATAATCTATAACCATATACGTGTTTATATTTATATATTATAAATTGTATGTTTGGCTCACGCCTATAATCCTAGTTACTCAGGAGGCTGAGATCTGAGGATCACAGATCAAAGCCAGACCAGGCAGGTAAGTCCGGGAGACTCTTATCTCCAATAAAACACTCAGAAAACCAGAAGTGGCACTATGGCTCAAATGGTAGAGTGATAGCCTTGAGCTGAAGTGCTGAGGGACAGCGCCCAGGCCCAGAGTTCAAGCCCTATGACAGATAAAAAAAAAAAAAATTGTATGTTTATGCCCAAAGTATCTACACTTGTTTATGTTGATTAAAAAAACTTTTGTAAATAATGTTTAATGTAAATTTATAAAAAATATTTTTATAAATGTTAATGAATAATGCTCAGACATGTTTATTTTGTATTCCTTTTACATTTTAAACTATTTCTTACATTTTCTGCAACCTTTTACATATTTAATCTATTTTTTTATTTTGACCATTTGAGTCAACAATTTTTCTTAGTGATAAAGGAAACTAGGATAAAAGCAAAGAATTCTAAATTAACATAGGATATATTGGTAAGTAAATAAGCATAACATACCATATCTGAACTAGAACTGAAAGAACTCTCTGTTGGTCTTGGAGAATAACTGGCAGACAGACTGCTCTGTGAAGAATCAAGACCTGAAAAATAAAGTTTTAATTCACAAAGATTAGGTATACCCTACAAAATATATGCAGGCAGAAGATACTGCTCACAATATAAACTTAATAACATAACAAATAGTACTTTAAAATGTGCCAAAGTTAGTTAAAAAATTTGGATACATGGCACCTTGCATTTCTAACAGCATATATAGTTTTTTTCCCTTAAAATACAGGTATATAAGGAAAGGAAGAAGAAAAGGTAAAATTGAATTAAATTGTCCAATATGTGAACTACTTTTGTGAGCAAAAAGGTGTCAACCAATGGGAAGGAAGCATAAACCAAGTTTATCAAGTCCCAAGGAATCACATATTATTGCTAATTGGGAAATAGAACATCACTGGGAAGCCAAAACTGCATTCAAAGTACCCAGTACTACATTCTTTCATTTTTTGCTATGTTACATCCTAATTGAAAACAAAGTTTAAAAGTGAGCCTGGGAAGTAGGTCGTGAGTCTCTACATCCTCCACACTAATAACTGCAATTACTGTCCTCCTTGTTTGTGATGAAAATGGATTTCCAGCAGAAAAGCACGAGACAATGGAATGCAGAACCACCACCTATATCAAATGATTTGTCCACAAAGGTTTTTAGGTATTTTAACAGATTAGATAACCTGAAGAATCATTCTTGGCTCAGAATATTGCCAGATATATAAACTTTTTGTCCACTAAAAGAAATAAATAATGAAAAAAGCACTTAGATATGAAGTATTTGCTACATACAAGCAAGAAAATTCAAGAATCAGAAGCAATTTATAGCAAATAGAGATATTTAGATATAGATGTGTAAAAATATAACTAAAATCCAACTTCCCAAAACACACATGGGCAGCTGGGTATGGTAGAACACACCTGTAGCTTCAACACCAGGGGGGCTGAAGCAGGAGGATAAAGACAAGCCTGGGCTACTTAGTAAGAGCTTGTCACAAGAAACAAAACCAAGAATATATAGCCAAGAGACATAAAAGAAAAAAAAGATAAATAAAAGGTATTTCAGAAATAAAACATGGATGGTTAATTATCAGAGAAATATCCCCTACAGTGGGAATATCAGATTACAATGATAAAAGATTTAGAATTTAAAGTATGTGACTAAACTTACCAGGCTTATAAGAGGTTAAATAAGTTTGGGTTATCCTGAAGAGGTAAAAATGTGTCTACCATATGAACCAATGATTCAGTTCCGAATACTTACCCTAGAGAAATTTTTATCATGTATGTCAGAACAAACATCAAGAATGACCAAAAAAGCTAAGAGCAATATATTCAAAACAATCTAAATATCCATTTCCAGAAGATGCATAAATTGTGGCACTTTCACATACAGAATGCTAAATAGCTGTGTACCAGTCAGAAAACAATGAAGTGTGTTAGATCCACAAATATTAAAGTTAATGAAACTCAACATATAATACTGTGTATATAAAATAAAGCTGCAAAAACATAGCTTCTTTAGGGTATTACAAATATGAAATCAAGCAACAGCAAAGTGTATTCACGTCACATAAAACAGGTTCACATAACAGTTACCTCTAGGGGGCAGAAAAGGAAATGTAATTGAGGATATTTACAAAAACTACAACATTCACACAGAATTTCTTAAATTACATAGCTGATTATAAGAGTTTTTTGTTTTGTTTTGTTTTTTAGTCAGCTGTGGGGCTTGAGCTCTGGACCTGGGCACTGTCCCTCAGCTCTTCAGCTCAAGGCTAGCACTCTACCACTTGAGCCACAGCACTACTTCCAGTTTGCTCAGTGGTTTATTGGAGACAAGTCTGTCTCATAGACTTTCCTGCCCAGGCTGGCTTTGAACCACGATCCTCAGATCTCAGGCTCCTGAGTAGCTAGGATTACAGGAGTGAGCCACCAAGCCCGACAAGAGTATTTCTTATTCATTACACTTCACATTTACATTATGTATATTCATCATGTATACTTTATAAATGATAAAAATAATGGAACAATCAGTCCTATTGCTAATATATCCTAAAATATTTTGAGGTAAAATTTTTCAAAAGCATTTAAAATTTAAACATAAAATTCACTCAAATAATCATACTAACGTGTTTTTTTAGCAGATACTGGCCTCCCTTGTAAAGAACATGTTCCTCCTTCTTCCATCAAATCCTAGAATAAAATAAAAATTTCAACAATTACTGTGTTCATAAATTCCACTTATAAGATCCTATCTATAAAGTTAATTCATTTCATAGTATTTTCCTATTATTAGTCAGTAGTGAACAATACACTTACATTAAAATTGGTTTAGAAACAAGAAATAAGCTACTGACAAAAAGGAAAAGCTTCAGATAATATTCAATGCACGTTAAAAAGATAAGCAACAAAAGTACTTTCAGGATTTATTCTATTATTCTTTTCCCATTTTTATGCTAAATATACTAATTTATTTTTACTTTTCAAAATATCAAAACCTAGAGCTATAAATTTTCTACAGAATACACTTTGGTTTCAATTGTTTTTGCTTTTTCTATGTATTTTTATTATCTTTAAGCAGTTGTACAAAATGCTGCTATTCAACAAAGCCATTTATGAATACAATGGGTTTTGATCATTGTCACTTCTTTTAATATTCTCATTCATCCCTCCCAAGCTACCCCTTCCCTCACTTTTCTTAGTTTTGTAGGATATATATTAAATTTTTTACTGCCCTCTCCCACCCTTCATCTCCTCCTCTACCATCTCCTTCCCTTGACTCTACTCCACCCCTTTAGGTATCTGATTCCTAGTGTTTATTTTGCTGAACTCTGATTTAGCCTTTCTAAGAAGTTAAACTGTTTGAGTTCTCCCTGAATCTACCATATTTCAGCTACTACACTAGTGTACATATGCATACCACCGACATTTTTACTTAGCTATTTATGAACTCTAGCTTCCACAAATAAGAGAAAACATGCAAACTTATCTCTCAAACTTGTCTCTTATGTTTCTTTTTTTAATCCTGGTGTGTTTCCTTATTTCCCCAAAAGTGGATGGAAGTTAAAAACCATTTGTATTTGTTTCTATCCAATTTTACTGAATTTTAATGAGAAAATATGGCTATGAATCTCCTCTCTGCCAATTACTGAGGGTGTATGTGTGTGTGCACGTGCGTGCGCACACGTGTGGGTGTGCTGCTCAACTCAGAACCTGGGTGCTGTCCTTTAGCTTTTTCTACTCAATTTTCTACTCAATGCTCTACCACTTGAGCCACAGCTTCATTTTTGGCTTTTTGATGGTTAATTTGAGATAAAGAGTTTCAGAGATTTTCCTGCCCTGGTTGGCTCTGAACTAAAATCCTCAGATCTCAAACTCTTGAGTAGCAAGGATTACAACCATGAGCCACTGATGCCGGCATTGAAGCTTACTATTGGCTTCGTAAACATAAATGTTTGCAACTTAAAGAAAATATGTATTCTGTGGTAGTATATAGACTTATATACAGGAGAAAGAAGAAGAAACTAGCCGCTTGCCAAGTTTGATTCCGTTTCCTTATGGTCATATATAGCTAGACTACCCTTTCAAGCTTTTCTTTTTTTTTGTATTTACTTTTTTTTT